ACTGTCGTTTTTGACGTATTGCATAAACGAGGAATAATTCTCGAAGAATTGTCAGGGTTCAAAGCAATTTTCGCAAGAACATAAACTTCACTCACTGTGTGTTGGACCTGGTATCTAGTTCTTGCTCGAATAACACTTTCATATCTAGTCATATTCATTGAAATTCGTTGAAAGGTTTTTTTGCTTGGTTGACGTCATTCTGGATACAAATTTATGTACTGATTGGCAACTTCCGCTGAATTTCATACATATCCCTCTTTTCGTCATTGGACATTCTTTCGACTCATTTACTACAAGCCTACTTGACAAAGTCCGATGCATTGTTCTGGTGGTTCAAAGCAACTTTCTTCTAAGATTGTCCTAATAAACATATTGTTTGTACCCAAATTTGTTGGGCGATTTGGAATCATTATATCATGAGGCAATATCCATGGCCGCTCGATAAATTATGGTTTCCCGAGTGGTTTCCAACTTTGCATTGAAAATTAGTCCATCGATTGTACATTATGATGGTCTTTAGGGATAGAAACGCAAAAAATACCCAATGTGGGATACATGTCTGTATACAGGATGAGAAGGCCAAGTAATTTTCGGAAAGAAACTATCAGGTCCGTAAGGTCCGTAAGAAAAAAAATTGAGGGTGGCCCTAGATGAACGAAACGTTGTATCGGAAATCTTATAACCTGAAATTGAACAACATACGAAATAGAAGAAAAAATAGCTGTGTGCTTTTTTTTCTATTTCCCGAAATGAAAGGGCTATCGCCTGAAAATGAAAATTACCAACATTTTTTCGTACTTTCAACACCCGGTATCTCTTGGAAGCCCCGGTAATCAAGATTTGTAACCCCAAAACCGTTGTCACTGGATGAGTTATCACTAAGATGCCTTAGCATTTCAGTTATCACTCACATAAAAATGTCAACCTTGTTGAAATGACGTAAGTCTGGCGGTCGCTGGCATGGTTTAAAAAATTATCATACACAGATTTTGATTCTAATATTATATCATGGCTGCTGACATTCGTATTAAAAATGTTTATCCAAAATTATGCATAAACTCCGATGACACTTCGACTATCGCTTCAATGATTATAATTGAGAGTTATCTTAGAGGATGATTTATGATGAACTGCCAATGTTCCGTTCTCCGAATGGTCATAATTTATATTTTTATACTTCCTGTATATTACTGTAGAATGACGTTTCTATTTTCATTATACCTGTCAGATAATTTCTCCTGAAATCTCAATGATGTGTTTGAAATAGTTAGTTACGTTACAAGGCCAATATGTAGCTATAATATCGGATGAGATTGAATATTGAAATACGAGGCGCAGCCGGGGATTATAACAACCGAATCCTTCATCGTATCGGCCGTGTGTCGTTCAAGACTTTTTGTAATCCCGCTGAAAGATTACATTTTGATTCAGAGGAAAGAACAAACCGCACGTACCTCGTAATCCTACAGAAAAATCCAAACATCGTGTTGTTATGGAGTAGTTTAGGCCGCCAGCCGTTAAACAATCTTAACGGACAGAGGCTGTAAACATTAACTTTTCAATTGTCATTTGAATACCGTTAAATCAAAATAACAGTATCTATGGGACTATACGAAAATTGACCTATCAGAAACCGATATAAGCCTGATCGTTTTATCATTTCATTAGTTTTTTATATTCGCGGAATTCTGTATGTATGTGTTTATACAAGGAACAAGTGAAGGTTGGACCAAATTCATCATAAGCTTAATATGGCCATTGGGAAAAAAGTTCAGAAACGTCGATTATCTTGTTCAAATGCGCCTTTGTTGGTCTACTCATATTTTTGATGACGTCATCATTACAAATTACACTATTTTCAACATGATAATATATTATAGAAAGTATCATCAGAATGGGGTATTGCTATTTGAAAAAAATTATAATGGCGTATCAACTTGAACTGTGATGACGTCATCAAAACTATGAGCTGATCAAAAATGCGCAGCTGAAAAAGAAAATCGACGTGTCTGGCCTTTTCTCCCACTGGCCATATCAAGCTTATAACGAATTTGTTCCAGCCTTTACGTGTGCTCACTGTATGATGATGTATATGGAAGTTATAATATCTGTTGTAATCAATTTTGTGCATGCTTCAAAATTCACTGAAACAATTGAGAGTAAACTAAACTAACCATTCAAAATTCAACTTTAGAAGTGACCCACCTTCAATCTCTCTGTTATACCAGATAAAGGGGATGTTCATTGAAACTGAAACTATTACTCGTGCCTTCATCAAACTCAATTTGATTCCTCATAGATAATTCGCATGCATTTAAATATTGATTTGGCCAATAGGTATATGACCTAATTATGATCGGAGTCCTCCATCACGTGAGGAATAATAGGGATTCTTATTAAAGGGAAATATATGTCTTGTTTGCAAGTTGTGCATGTTCTGAAAATTAGGATAGGTATATAGTAGAGAAGTTGTGCCTATACTCACAATGAATCAAGCAATAGTGCATAATCATAATAATATATCTGGTTACCCTTCCTATGTCCATTATCAAAATTTCATCGTACCAAATAATTGAAAATCTTCCTCAATGTCCCTGTTTATGATGAAGAAATTTATGTTAAAATTAATTCGTTGATACTACGAATTGTTTATTTTTTACAATTGCCGTGAAAGCCATTAAATAACTGCGGACACTAATATTGTTTTAATTTTTCGATATAATTCACACAAATGAAAGCACCCTGAAAAAAGAAATAAAAGTTTTCTGAATGCACGGCGATATCGAGGAAGAGTTCATCCCTAAAATAGAGAATTCAAATCAACAAGAATATGTCATCTGTTCACAATCATTCATATTATACATATAAATCTTTGTGTCGGTTCATATATAGGTTCATATCTTAAGGCAGGCGTAGAGTATAAACTTATGATGAATCACCTTGTATACCTATGAAAATTCGAGGAAAGTCGACATGAAATTATTTCAATCGATTCGTTCATTCTCCAAGTTCAACAAAAACGCTTTTTATCAGACAGTATGAAGTTGGTTTCTGACTCTCACCAATTCGAATTTTATCGGTGAAAAACAAACTTCCAGTCATGATATTTACTTGAATACAATTATTATTATTATGAAGACCCCAATTGGTTAAGGTTACATGAATTTGATATTGAGGAATACGCTTCAAAAAATCAGTAGAATCATCAAAGGGTGAGTTCACCAATAATTCTTATGTAGGTACTTATATGAAACTGTCGCAAACTATTTTTGTGTTTATGTAGTTGAGATGAAAAGGGTGAAAGAAAAAATCAATGCAATCTGTACAGATCAAGCAAAAACAATCGCTCGAACACGTCAACTTCAAATTTGTAAGCCCAAATTTCCACGAAAAATTTTGTGACGTTCTCATTGTCGCCTTGTTTTTTGTGAAAAAGTAGTATTTTGTTTGAAATAGATTTTTGCATTCAATTTTGATTTATATTGATGAAATTCCTTCCTTGTTGTTATGGTGTTTTTATATCCCGAATTCAGATAGAATATATAAAAATAACACAATAATTTCCTATTCTTATAAGTCGCCCCTCTCCGATATACAGGGTGTCTGGAAATTATATAGAAAGATATCAACCACAGAATCTTTGAACAAAAACAGTGAAAAAAGTTCACATAAACATGAGCCCAGAAATGATGGTTTTTTGTAAATATTTCCAAAACCTTCTGTGATGAGATAACGGAATTTTGTACATGTATATATTAATTTTTATGCTCGATTCGGAAATGTTAAGAGTTTTTCAAAATTTTGATCAGGGGCGTGGGAACTGGGTGGGGCTTGGGGCAATTCTTCTCCCAAATTGTTTTTATGCAAATTTCGGCAGTTTGACCAAGAAACATGGAAATAGCATCATTTTTACGCAAAAATTATACTTCTGTTTAGTTTTGATAGCACTCATCATTTTCGGTATGAATCGATTCTAAAAGTCAGCTGCGTGATAAAAATAGTACTTTCTCTTAATAGAATAGGGTACCTACCACCTACCATAATATTTTCCTGGTCAAACTAACTAAAATTATTTCCCAAGCCCCCGATAAAAATTTCGGAAAATCCTTAACATTAAAAAGTATTATACATGTACAAAAATTCGTCTCAAAGGGTATCGGAAAAATTTACAAAAAATCATCATCTTGGGCTCTCTTACAGATGGCTATAACTCCCCAGGAGGCCATCATTTCTGGACTCATGTTTACATGAACTTTTTTTACTATTTTCATTCCCTGAATCTGTGGTTGAAATATTTCTATGTAATTTCGTATATATGTATAGCATACACCCCTTGAGATCTTTTTCTTTAAACATTCGATTTTTTTTTGAAAACTGGTACTTTTATTCATATCGATCATATTTATATGCCTTATTGTTAGCTAATAATCACAATTCAATAAACACGAGCACTATCACGAAATATAAGATGGACAAGGGGTATGCTCGTTCTAAGTTCGATTACCCGCCGAACACTAATGAACCAGCACTTGCACATGTCTGTGATAGCAAGCTAGTGACGTAAGCACATTCCACTGAGCATTAGCGTACATAATTGCTAGATGCCAACGTGCCTTCATCATAAAGGGTGTAAAGAATTATATGTTTAAAAGGATCCATTTTACGTAGACTCATCTAGTATTCATCATATTGAAAAATAATTGAATAATACCAAAGACTTTGGATATTATTGATAGAGAAAAAAAATGTCCAGAAGTATTCTTTATGGAACCATACGTATACCTGAAACAGGAGGCCATAAAAAATTGATTTTTTTGTATTCTATCTGAATCCAGGAGATTTCCCACATATTCTGATACACCCTATATCAATCACGTTACAGAAGACTCTTCTGACCTTGCTAGTTCGTTTTATCAATGCGTTGAAGTATCCCGGAAAATAAATACAGCTATAATTACTAGTTTTATATTGTATAATTGGAACGATTTTTTTCGTTTTAGACGCCACACTTGTCCACACAATCCAGAAGACTACAATGACCACCTGCACCTGGAAGGTCCGTTCTTGGGCGAACCGAGGAATGACTACAGCGCTACGAAAGGCGAGCGATTCCCTGTCAAGAAACCGGAAGACCACCTCAAACCAGAGGGCGAGTTCGTCAAACGCGAACCAGAACCGTGGCAACCAGGCGAAAGAGCACCAGTAAAGAAACCACAGGATAACCTCAGGCCTGAGGGAGACTTTGAACGACCTGAGAAAACAGGTTGGTCTCCTGCTGAGAGGCCCCAGCAAAAAAGACCCGAGGACAATTTGAGGCCAGAAGGTGATTTCCAAAGACCAGCGAAACCAGAGTGGTCACCATCCGAAAGACCAAAACAGAAGAAGCCCGAGGATAACTTGAAACCTGAGGGCGTTTTCGAGCAACGCACTCCGGAAAAATGGCGTCCAGGTGAAAGACCAGAAGCTAAGAAACCTGAAGACAATCTCAGACCCGAGGGAGACTTCGAGAGACCTGAGAAGCCTGGATGGTCTCCAGGGGAAAGACCCAAACAGAAAAGACCAGACGACAACTTGAGGCCAGAAGGTGATTTCGAGAGGCCTGAGAAGCCTGGATGGTCCCCAGGGGAAAGACCCAAACAGAAAAGACCAGACGACAACTTGAGGCCAGAAGGTGATTTCGAGAGGCCTGAGAAGCCTGGATGGTCCCCAGCGGAAAGACCCAAACAGAAAAGACCAGACGACAACTTGAGGCCAGAAGGTGATTTCGAGAGGCCTGAGAAGCCTGGATGGTCCCCAGCGGAAAGACCCAAACAGAAAAGACCAGACGACAACTTGAGGCCAGAAGGTGATTTCGAGAGGCCTGAGAAGCCTGGATGGTCCCCAGGGGAAAGACCCAAACAGAAGAGACCAGACGACAACTTGAGGCCAGAAGGTGATTTCGAGAGGCCTGAGAAGCCTGGATGGTCCCCAGCGGAAAGACCTAAACAGAAAAGACCAGACGACAACTTGAGGCCAGAAGGTGATTTCGAGAGGCCTGAGAAGCCTGGATGGTCCCCAGGGGAAAGACCCAAACAGAAAAGACCAGACGACAACTTGAGGCCAGAAGGTGATTTCGAGAGGCCTGAGAAGCCTGGATGGTCCCCAGGGAAAAGACCCAAACAAAAAAGACCAGACGACAACTTGAGGCCAGAAGGTGATTTCGAGAGGCCTGAGAAGCCTGGCTGGTCCCCAGCGGAAAGACCAACGCAGAAAAAGCCCAAGGATAACCTTCGTCCAGAAGGCGATTTCGAAATTCCAGAACCTGAGGAATGGAAACCTGCAGAGCGACCTCAGCAAAGGAGACCAGAAGACAATCTAAAACCGGAAGGGGAATTTGATAGACCTCAGAAGCCCAAGTATCATCCAGGTGAAAGGCCAGTTGCAAGAAAACCTACGGATAATTTGAAACCTGAAGGAGAATTCACTGGTACGAGAACAGTTATCGAAGATTACAGAGTAATTCGTGGTGACAGAGCTGAGATTACTCGCCATGAAGACAACATCATTATTGAAGGAGAATTCACTGGTATGTACAATTCCTAATCATCAACAAATAAATACAATTATATGTACACTGATACATGCCTTCAAATAAAATAATTCCCTGAACGCCTAAACTGGTCACTTTTAGAGACTGCAACTGTTCATATCGAAAAGTTTACCATGTATGTAGTTTTTGCAGTTTGTCCTATGGAATTCTCGAAGGTAGATAGGCAACATCGGTGAGGCAATCGAAATGTTCCTCATACTCATACTTGAAAGTTCCAATCAAGTAGGAACAATTTCGACTAGAATCGAAAGTTTGACAACCAACACAAATGTATTAGTTTGGAAATGAATACTTCACAATGCGGTTATTGCATGTGGAAATACATTATCAATCTCAATGCTCAGTGATTTTCAAGGGTTGATTTTGCAATTATATTTAGGTATTTCTTTTTCAATTGTTGTGGTATCTTGATCGAGGTCATAGAGATTATATTCTCAAATGTCTACAGTGTGATTCAGTTATTGCGACTTCACTATTGAATATTTATTGCATCTTGAATTCGCCTCATGTGTTAACTTTTTTTTGGTGCAGCAGATCATAGAATCAGATGGAACAAGTCATAGGTAGGTACCTATATACTGTGTATTATGATGATAATAAATTTGTGAATTATTCATTGATTTTAAATTTGTATTAAGCTTTCTGTTGATGATTGAGGTAATTTTAATAGTACTGATTATACAGGGTGTCATTTTTTGTAGCAGAACTTCAACAGCTCGATCAAGATACTATTTCAAGATAAAAATCTAATTTGAACATGTATGCGTAGGACCCTCAATTTCGAAATACAAGTAGTGTGATAAGTTCGAATATTTTTTATGTTTTTCAAGTTTTGCCAATGAGTTCCATAAATACTCCTTATGGAAGTTTTTCTACGGCTATAACACAAGATTGCTTTTGTTTCACTGTGTTCGATACACCAATGAGGTACTTTGTATGTCATCAATATTATTTCTGTATCTGATATCACAATGACTCCATTGTGTTATTATTTCAAAAAAACTCATCGCCCATGGAATGTCAAATTGCAAGCAATGACAGCTGTGTCTTATAGATGAGCATTACTTTACAGGAAATCAGATGGCTACAAGCCGAAGAAATCGAAAATGCCGCTGTTATCTGTTACAGCCGTAGAAAAATTATAGTGTATAACTTGCACGTAATGCTAATTTCCTACTTGAATGATTGCAGCATTCGCCTATGGCTCATGCTGCAAACTTCATATTCGTAGGAAATCACTATCATTTCGTCCTCGTTAAACAATACACTAATTCTATACAGTCAATCTATACAATTTTCGAAAAATACAGGGTGTTTCAAAAAAACCTAACCCCCTTGCTAGGGTAGGTAGAACATCGCAAAATAAGTTGGGTTTGCTCTGTAAAAAAATGTCGTAACGCCATCCGTTTTCAAGATACAAGGTGTTGAAACAATATTTTTTTTACACATTTTTTACGATTATGTTGAAACTACTGGCAACATTGTGATGAAAGAAATTTTGTATGGATGTTTCTTGGAATCTGACACATCGCATGCATTTGTTTTTATATCTGACTCTCATAGAGGGCGCTAGTTACACGGTTCGTAGCGAGTAGTTTTGAACATAACTTTTTTGAGGTTAGATTTTACAATCCAAATTTGATGTGAACTTAAACATCATTCAATTTCACACCAAAAAGGTACTCTTGGTAAAACTCGATACTGTGTTCCGTTTTCGGAATATTTCGATTTGAAAATGATGAAGTGGTAACTGTTGCTGGTATAAAGCTATGTATTAGAGTGAGTATTATGAAAAATTATCACCTATTTATTGAAAACCGAAAACAACAATAGATTTCTGATGCAAAACTCATTGATTTAACAAGGAATCACAAGAATAACATCAAAACAGATTTGACTAAGAACATAGATTGCATAGTTTTGTTGTATCTTGAGCAGAAAGTCTATGCTTCATAGGTAAAATCACGTCAAGAGTTGTGAGACATAACTGAACATCACTCAAATGACCTAACAGCTGATCCCCAACTGTTCAGAAGAATAATACATTCTCTAAAAAAGAATATAGAATCGTGTATTCCTCGAAACGTAGGACATTTTGAACACTTACTCTAACTGATTCAATATTTCATGTTTCTAGTCAAATATCTCTTAATTTTCTACTTATGATTCATTGTTCCATCAATAACTTCAGCACAAGAATAATTTTATTGTTTTTGGACCTGAATAAATAGGTAATTGAACTCAATAAAATTTATTTTATACCAGCATCTACTACTCCATTATTTTCAAATCGAAATATTCCGAAAACGGAACATAGTATCGAGTTTCACCAGGAGTACCTTTTTGGTGTAAAATTGAATGATGTTCATGTTCATATCATATTTGTATTGAAAAATCTAACCTCAAAAAAGTTACGTTCAAAACTACTCGGTACGAACCGTTTAACTAGCGCCCTCTATGAGAGTCAGATATAAAAACAAATTCATGCGATGTGTCAGATTTCAAGAAACATCCATACAAAATTTCATTACAATGTTGCTAGTAGTTTCGGAATAATCGTGAAAAATGTATAAAAAAATAATTTTTTCAACAACTTGTATCATGAAAACGGATGCCGGTACGACATTTTTTCACTGAGCAAACCCAACTTATCTTGCAATGTTCTACCTACCCTAGCAAGGAGGTTAGGTTTTTTTGAAACACCCTGTATATAAGAGAGCAACACGTGTACAAAAAGAAAGCAGATGCAGCATGCAAGAGGGTTAAATAGGGTGAAACTTCCGAAAGTGTATCATCCTGTAGGTAATAGTAATAGCTATAGCCCTAGATATTGAGTGCTTCAAGTGTAATAGGTATACCAAATTGCAATTGTCCATTTGCGGAATTTTAGGAGAAAACTACAGAAACATTGAAAATATCTCAGACTTTGACTCCCTGTAGGTAATCTTCAAAATATGTATTCTCCAATCTGTTGAAGACGTGCTACAAAAAACTGACTCACATATTGCTCTTCCAGAAGTTATGTGTTTGTTTATTTATACAGGGTGACATTGAAATAAATTCAAATAACAGTTCGAACCCTGAGGAAGTTTGACGTATAGGTACTATCGAATGGCACCAATAAAAAAAAACGTTTAAAATAAAATTTTGGATGAGACTGTTTTTCTTATCCAAATTTCTACACTGCTAATTTTGACGTTCCCTCTACATAAATTGGAAGGCACGTTCACGCGGAGTTGATCCATTTATATTGCCTTGCAGTGGAGTACTTGATTTTTTTCGATCTTTTTTCAATTTTCAAAATCAAATTTCTGTTTAATGAGAAGGACTAGGAAACATTTATATCATGGAAATATCGTTAGGATATATTCATGTGCTGAATATACAGGGTGGAGACTTTAACTGGAATAAATTCGCTACTGGAGGAGTGAATGATTTTTTTGAAAATTCACGAGAGACGTCAAAGTTTAAATGTATTTACCTAAATTTGGCGAGCAATATGGAGAATATACCCCTTCAGGGAAAGCAGGAATCTACTCGAACATGTTTTTTTCGAATGCAACCCTATAGCTTGCGACCCCCGATTGGAAAGCTGGTTGAAATAGGAATCCAGCCTACTGATCATATTTCAGTTTGCAGTACGTTAGGGGGTCGCATTGAATCAAAATATAATTTAGAAGTTTAATATATTTTCAACGTATTTTCATCAAAATCCGACTTTTAGTGACATTGCTATAGGGCATTTTCAACAGTTTGCAATAGCCTTTCGCTTCGAACTGTAAATACAGCAAATAAACTGAATTTATTTTCGCGGCCCTATAAAAACCATGTAAAAACACTGGAATACAATAGCAGATAGCAGTTGTAGCAAAAAATTGCCATCAATTGTTCAACACACATTTTGAGCGATTGATACGTTGAAAAAAAAAAGAATTTTAAAATTACATTTCAATTTCATGCAACCATTGAACGAATGAAACACGAAAAATTTACTAGTATACTGGATTCCTCTTTCCACCAGCTTTCCAATGAAGGGTCACAAGCCATAGGGTTACATTTGAAAAAATCTTTCAGCTACCCCTGGAGGGATATATTCTTGATATGCTTGCAAAAAGTAGGTAAATACATTGAATCATTGACGTATATCGGGAATTTCCAGAAAAAATATCCAACTTTCCGCTAACGAATTTATTCCAGTTGAAGTCCTCACACAGTATGAACCCATTTCAAAAACAACTCCTCGCTCAGTTGATTTGTTGGAGTATCATGAATATGAAAAACGATACAACACCTTCTCAAATATAACAGAAATTTTGTTGAAACTACTTTTGAAACAATAAGAGCCTCAAATATTTATCAGATTATTCCACTAAGGATGCCTGAATGGATAGGAATGTATAATGCACTCTAAGTTTGAGACATCTTCTTGACGCACCAATGGGAGATATTTTTCTTTTGTGGTTTTCAATTTGTGCTTCCTATGTCAACTTATGTCTGTTCATAAATTATCAAGGTATTAGGAATGACGTTGTCCTTCTAGAGAAATATCTCGTAATGCTTCAGATAATTTTGTTTGCAAACTTTAAATCAGATTCAGCATTCCAAAAAACATAAGTTTTCAAGATCTACAAATAGATGAATTATCAGTTATTTTGAACTAAGAGGTACATATTCGTTGATTTTAAACTTCAGATTCTATAGTGAAAGCTGAATATCGTTTGGGAAAAAAAAAGGGGAACCTTGAGGAGCCGTTCATGAATAGGTCTCACTTTTGTCGCATAGTTATAAAAGTACTTTGGAAATTCTATATGACATAGCATAATGTTCTAAGATTTTGCGAAAATCAATAGTAGTTATGTATAAACCAAGGTAGTAAAGAGACCAAGGACCAAGATTATATCCCGAGGCTTCAGCCGAGGGGTATAAGGTGCCGTGGTAATAATATTCTCTACTACCAAGGTTTATACAGGGTGGGC